CGAAATACAGTACATATTAGGAGTAAGAGAGACAGATGAAAGCAGCAAGTGACCTACATAACGAGCTTGTGTCAATGAATATCAGAGCAGGGACAGGTAGGGATACTAAAGAGACAAATATTATGAAGAGTTACAAAGAATATGAAGAGACGTGATCCTCCACGGCCTGAAGGATCACAGCGCATAGAAGAAGAAGAAAAAAAGAAGAGGATTAATTTCCTTTTTCACCTTTTATAATCTAAATTAATCATATTTTTGGATGGATGAAATGTTAAATTGTATTCAGCTTCTAATGTTGTTATGAGTAGTAGGGATTTTACAAGAAGGTGAATTTTCGTTTAATAAAGTATAACTGCTCAAGAGCTAAATTTTTTTTTTGCTTGTAGGTACTGAACCATGTTGATCTAAAATCTTTCCAAGGGCAGCCATGGGAACCCGAAAAGAAAAAGAAACGGAATTGTGGAGAAACAAAAGGAGAAATAATCTTCACATCACAGAGTCGAGAGTAGACAGGCTGCCTAATCTTAACAGACAAACTGGTCAGTGTAGCGTGCCTGCTTTGTGTGCAAATCACGTTTCAGGGAAAAGGACTTCAGATCTTGCAGCCTGAGAATTGGTTTCTCTCACCTGCAATCGTGCGGAAAACCAGTCTAAGACGAAAAGGCCTAACTTAAAGGAATGGTGCAAAGCGGGCAAAGGGATGGATTTACAAAACAGACAAAGTGTGGATGAATAGGATTTAGATTTTGTCCTAGTTGAATTATATGGAAACGATGTCTATTGTCAGTGGGAATAAATGCATTGATGATAGCATCAGCAAAAGCAAAGGAGACGTGCATTGTATTAATCAATGTATGTAAAATTTTGAAGAGATTTCCTCATATTTTGGATCGCATGGAGAAATGATAATTTTTAGATACATTTATGGACTTTTTAAACAAATGCGTCAAAACTTACATTCCCTCCAGTGATTTGTTAAACTGTTATTATATATATAAGGAGTAAGACTTATTAAACAAATACGTCAAAACATTAATTTTCTCTAATGATCACATATATAACGATTAAGATTTCTTAAATACATCAGAACTTTTATTGTATCTAATGGTTATATATATATAACGATAAGGATTTATTAAACAAAGCCTCAAAAAATTAAGTCTCTGTAATGTTTACATATATAAGGAGTAGAGTTTATTCAACAAATACTACAAAACTTTCATTGTGTCTAGTATGGCTAATAAGATTTCTTAAACAGATACATTCAAATTTTCAAATTCAAATACTTCAAAACTTTCATTAGCTCTAAATGATTACATGTATAACGATGAGGATTTATTAAACAAAAGCCTAAAAAAATTCATTCTGTGTAATGATTACATGTATAGTATAACGAGTAGGATTTATAAAAGAAATGTCTCAAAAATTCATTCTCTGTAATGACTATATGAATAATGAATAGGATGCATAAAAACTTTCATTGTCTCTCATGAATAGGGTTTCTTAAACATGTACGTCAAGTCTATTATTCTCTCTACATGATTAGGATTTATTAAACAAATACATGAGAACTTTCATTCTTTCTAATGATTACGTAATGAGGAGGGTTTATTACAAAAAGCGATGAAGCATTAATTCTCTCTAATGATTACATCTATAACGAGCAAGATTTATTCAACTTTTTCTATCACATTTTTCATTCTCCTTAATGATTACATACATAATGTGCAGAACGAAATGCCCCAAAACTTTCATTTCTTCGAATAAAGCACATAAAATGCTTCCAGATACCACATTTCTCCTCGGTAGAATTTCCGGAGAGGTATATAGTGTGCCTAAGTAATGCTTTCACATCTACAATAACAACTTGAGGCAGGTGATTAAAGATCCAACACTTGGATCATAGGCAACACACACAGATACTGCACTTCCTGGAAAGAGACCCGAAGAGCGAAATATTGATCAGCGACATAGCACACAGATAACACGTAATTAAGTATTGGAGATGGATACTCCAAACTTACGCAGTGTACACAGTTACTACACTGCTCCGAGGCAGAGGGCCAGCTCCTACACAAATACTAAGTATAATAATTGATAAGACAAATACTTCAAGGGCATCCAAAAAATAAACTGCCTACATTTTTTTAATCATTTCACCCCGTCATTGATGGTATCACTAAGACTCAAGAGGGTCACTGGCAGTGAAAGGGAATAAGAAGGAGCTTAGCTGCAACCCTCAGTTTTATTGTAATAGTTTCTTTTCTTGCACTTCTCGCATGTGGAACTTCCTTCAATAGAAAACCACTTCATTATCTTTCTGAAGAAGTCATACCAATTTACAGATAATAAAGTAAAGGAATTTGTGGAGAAGTCAAAGGGAAAACACTCCACTATCATTCTCAAGAAGTCACACTAATTCACAGATAATAAAGAAAATGAATCTGTGGAGAAGTGAATGGGAAACCATGCCGATGATCTTTAAAAATTTGAATTCAGCATCTATCGCCATTGACTGAACCCTGTTCCTTTATTGACCTTTCTTCACTTTTCTTCACTAAAATCTTTTCATTCCCTGTAACCCCACCTTGCATCCTAGTGGCATTATCGCTCTGCTTGGAGTGAAACAATTAAAAAAAGATAGGGATATTGTAGCAACAGCACAATACTAATGCTGACAATGGTAATGATTTTAATGACGGTGATGATGATTCTCTTGAGGAGAAGATGAGGCTAGAAAATGGTAGGTGGTGATTAAATATGTTCCAAAATGTTTTAAAATAATAGCAAATAAATACCATTTAATTAACACACTGAAGCACAAAGGAGCACTAAATGAAATGCCATTCTCCTGAAAGAAATAAAAGTCAGATTATGGGTAATCTGATACCATGTAATTGAATTAAATTTTGAAAAGGAGCAATACAAAAAACGAAATTGAAATAGAATAAAATGGCTGACCAGAAATATAAATAAAATGGCTGACCAGTTGATAAACTAACATGGATGATAAAACAAGAAAAATCTCATCAGAAAGTTAAATCCGAGATCCTAATTAAGAAAAATGAAGGCAAGAGAAAATGGAAGCAGGTAGAAAAATATAATAGGAAAACAATGAATGGAAGAAGGCAAGACAAATCGAAACATGAAATAAAAAGAAAAATATAGCATTAGAATGAGACAGTAGAAAAATTTTAAAGTGGTGGTAGGAGTGGAGGTTAAGGGTTATCAGCAAATAGTAAATGAAGCTATTTGAATATGAGGATAGAGGCAAAAAATAAAACATGCAGAAAAATATAAAAGAAAGAAAATAGCTAGAGAGATGGATCTGTAAAGGATTAAATTTAAACTCCATACAAAAAATGTGAGAGAGAAATTGGAAAAGAAGAAACAGGGAGGGTGAAGGCAGAGTATAAAAAGCAAGGAAGTAGGAAAAGGAGAAAAGAGACAAAGAGTAGAAGGTTGACAAGAAGGAAGAAAAGAAAGAAGAGAAAAAGGAAGAAAGACAGGAGCAGGGTGAGAGAAGGCAGAAAAGAAGGAAGAAAAGAAGGAAAAGGAGAAAGCAGAGAAAGAAGGTAGAAAGAGAAAGGAGAAGGAGAAGAGGAGAAGTTTAATTGAAGAAGACAGTGAAAGAGTATAAACTGATGATTAGAAGAAAAACAAAGCAAAGACAAATAAGAAGTAAAAAAGCAAAAGAAAAAAGAAAAAAATGTACAAAGACGGTCATCCCATTTGTTTTCTGAGTACTGGAAACAGTCTTAAAAAGCATGCAAAAAGATTAGTAGTTAAATTTGGACTATCTACATAACCCTACTGGTAAGGTTTATTAGAATACCGAGGAGAGTTCTGCAGTACTTAGGAAACTTTCTCTCAGTTGGGTTCCCTTGACATCCATTGGTATGAAAATTAAGGTGGGAAAAAGAAAAATGAAAAAATGAGGAGGAGGATGAAAGGAGAAGGCAGAAAAGAAGGAGGAGGAGTGAGGGTGACGGCAGAGGAAAAGAAAGAAAAGAAGGAGGAGGCATAGAAAGATTAGGAAGAGAAGGAGAAGAGAATAAGGGGAGAAGACGTTGGAGAAGAAGGTAGAAATGGGAGGGAGAAATCAGACAAGAAGAAGCAGGGAGGGGGAAGGTAGAGAATAAAAAGCAAGAAAGTAGGAGGAGGAGGAGGAGGAGAGAGAAATAGAGAAGGAGTAGAAAGCACGGAAGGCAGAAGATGAGGCAAAGAAAGTAAAGGGCGGGAAAAGCAGACGTGAAGGCAGGAGCAGGGTGCGAGACGGTAGAGAAGAAAAGAAGGAAAAAGGAGAAAGCTGTGGGGAAAGTAGAAAAGGAAGAGGAGGAGAAGGAAAATTGAAGTAAACAGAAAAAATCATGGGGAGAGAAAAGAAGGAAGAAAAGGAGGAGGAGAAAGCAAGAGAAGGTAGAAAAGGAAGAAGCAGATTGAAGAAGAAAGAAAAATAGGAGGGAAGAGAAGAAGAAGAAAGCAAAATAGAGAGAAAAGAAGTCAGAAAGGCAGAAAAAAAGGAGAGAGTGAAAATACAGAGAAGAAAGCAAAAAAAAAAGGAGGGAGAAGAAAGTAGAGAAGGAGGAGGAGGATGTGAGAAGATAGCAAAGAAGGCAAAAAAGGAGGAGACTGGGAGAAAGTAGAGAAGAAGAGGTAGAAAAAAAGAAAGCAGAAAGACAGGAGAAAAAGAGGAAATAAGAAGACAGAGAAAAAAATAAGAAAAGGTGCAAGGAAAAAGAAAGCAGGAGAGAAGGTGGAGGGGGTGAGAAGAGAGAGAAGAAAGCAAAAATGGAGGTGGCGGGAAAGTAAAGGCAGAGAAGAAAAAGGCAGAAAAGAAGGAAGGAGTAAGAAGACAGAGAAGATGACAAAATAGGAGAGAAGGAAAGGAAGTAGAAAGGAAGAGAAGTGAATGTGAAGGTAAAGAAGAAAAAGTTAGAAATGTAAGAGGAGGAGGAGAAAAGACCAGAAGATAAGGAGAAGCCAAAAAACAAAAAGTGTTAGGGAGAAGAGAGACAGATTGTCAAGAATGCCAAGTACAAAGATAAGAAGAAATGGAGAAGGCAAAGAAAAAAAAGGAAGAGGCAAAGAAAAGGAATTGGCAAAGAAAAGAGTAGAGGAGGCAAACTGAAGAAGTAGGGGGGGGGGCAAAGAAAAGAACTGGAGGAGGCAATGAAAAAGAGGAAGAGTTCAAAGAAAAAAGTGGAGAAGGCAAAGAAAAGAATTGGAAAAGGTAAAGAAAAAATGGAAGAGGCAAAGAAAATTATGAGGTAAAGAAAAAAGTTGAGGAGTTGATGAAAAGAAGGGGAGGAGGCAAAAAAGACATAGTGGAGGCACAGAAAAAACGTGGAGGATGCAAAGAAAAGAACCGGACAATTCAATGAAAAAAAGGTGGAGTAGCCAAAGAAAAACGTGGAGGAGGCACAGAAAAGAAGTGGAGGAAGCAAAGAGAAAAAATAGAGTAGGCAAAGAAAACAAAAATCAGAAACTAGATAATAATAATAATAATAATAATAATCCAGGACTTTTGTTTTATTTCTTTTATAGCCCTTTCTCGTTAGTCTTCTTTTAAAGCAATGATACTCTGAAAGTGCATTAGGTTTGTTAAAATGTAATTTGTTAGCTCCAAAATTATTCCTTTATTTCTTACCATGGAAATGTCTTTTAAAAACTAACAAATACCGACCTGTTCCATATTTAACCTTTTACTTTATCTGTGCTCGATTTTTCCTCAAACTTACTTGATTAACGCTCTTTGCGAAAAACTTGTTCCACATCAGTAAAACAGATGCTCTCCACGTAAATGCATTTAATAATTTGCATTCCCAAAGTGTTTTTTTTTCCTTTTCATGGAACAAATTAGTTTTTCTTCTTTTGACTTTTAATTTTATTTTCATTATTTGTGCTTTCAAAAGCTTAAAAATTAGTATCATGCACAAAAAGACATTAAAATTGTTTTTGCACTTTTAGAAGATACACTTGTCCAAAATCAGTTCCTGCTCCTGTAATTTAAAAAAAAATAATAAGGTATTGTTCCACAGAAGGATGCTAAGGATATCATGGACCGAGCGTGTGAGCAATGATGAGGTTTTGGAGAGGATGCACACAAAGAAGAAGCTTATACTTAACATCAGGAAGAAGCAGATGAAATTTCTGGGACACATAATGAGAAAGGAGCACTTGGAGAATCTGATACTCACAGGGCAAATAGAGGGAAAGAGAGACAATGGAAAGCAATGCATGACATACCTAGCAGACTTAAGCAAGTGGATGACAGAAGAGGGTCTGGTAGAAGTAGCAAAGGGACAAAACTTATTAAGAGCTACAAGGGATAGGGGGAAGTAGAGAGGAGTGATCACCTACGTCTTGAAGAGACACAACACATAAAAGAAGAAGAATGATGATTTCAATAGAAAAAAATTACTTGTAGCTTCTAAATCATTTTTATTTGAGCATTAATCATTTACATTAGGACTAATATCCTCATCTTTGTTCTTATTATCAAAATGTTTCGGATGTTGTACACTTTGGTCTTCTTCAGATGTTTGCTAACCTCAGTAACCTTCAGGCAATGTTAAACTGAAACCTTTATTTATTCTATGGTAGTATATTGTTCTAATTCTGCTGTCCACATCTAGGTATATTTTATCTTGCTCTTATTTAGTACTGCATTGGTTTGGATTTGTTTGGTTTACGGCCTATCGACTTCAATAGGTTATTTGATATCAACAAGATTTTTATTACTGGTAATATTTTATTTTTCAAAAATGTATTTCTGGTAATATTTTTTTTTTTAGATGTATTGCTGGTAAAAATTTTGCCTAAAAAGTATTGCTGGTATTAAATCCTATTTTTATACTTTCATAGTGTTTTGACCACTTTTGTGGGGGATTTAACTATTTGCCCATAGCTGGGACCCTGACAAGTGCTACCACCCACCCTAGGTCATGGTGGGCCTGGAAACACCAGCAATTAAGAGGTGGTTCCACAATCTTCAAAACCTTCTGATCAAAGGCCTCGCTGTTGGATGTAGTTCATCATCTTACCCAGGGCACGGATGTAGTTCATCGTCTTAACCAGGACATGGATGTAGTTTATCGTCATATCCAGAACAGGCTCTGTTGTTGCACACACTGATTACATGTATGGTGATCTTATAAGCATAGCTTAAATGTGGCACAAGGCTGAAAGTATGAAGCACCCAGTGAGGATCAAGCTCACTATTCAGTCATAGTTGATATAGTGAAACAAGCTTTCTAAATGATGTGCTCATGCTGAGTCTAACTATATACCACATTGGTCCATGAATTTGGCAATATACTAATTGTGAGTTCAATCTCTGGTCTGGGTAGTACAAGAGCCTCCTATAAGAAAAGAAATGACACTCAATAGAAATTATAACACATGAGTTCAGACATTATGTTTAAAACTCATTTTCAAAATAAGATTGTGCAGAAGACATATATCCGTAGTTAGAAATTAAGTAGTGGGGGAGAGAGACAAACAGAAAAATGAAATAAGAAGGAAAGAAAAAAATGTGAAGACTAAGGGAAAAATCAAAGAGAATATAAAAGAAGAAGAAGAAGAAGAAGAGAATAAATAAAGAAATTAAAGAAGGAAAGGAAATAAAAAGAAGAAATCAGAGAACAATAAATTAACAAGATTTAAAAAAAAAGAGATATGAAAAGGAAAGGGGGAAAGAAAAAAAAGAGATTAAGGGATAAAAAGACAGAGAAAATGATGGAAAGAGAAATAAGAAAGGAAGAAGAAATCATAGAGAAAAGAAAGAAATGAAAAAAGAGAAAAAAAAAAGAAATTGATAAAATGGAAAAAAAATATAAGGAAATAAAAAAAAGTTAATAAAAAATTATTATGCAACGGCTGTTGTGCCAGATGGACCACTTCCCAAAATTCATAATTCAATGACCAAAAATTTAGAATGTTAAAGAAACTTTAGAGAAATGTGTCATTCTCCTTGGTCAGGTTGAGGACTTTTCTGAAACCATCAGAGATAACTGATGCAGGGGAAAAAAGGCAATCAGAAAAAAAGCAATGAAGAAAGAAAGATGTTTTTATTTAAAAAAAAGCAAAAATGAAAAAGAATGGATTGAATAGAAATGTAGATAGAGGAAGATAAAGAAATTCAAATTGAAGATTGGAGTGAACTGAAAGAGAAGAAGAGAAAGAAAGAAAGAAAGAAACAAAGAAAGAAACAAAGAAAGAAAGAAAGAAAGAAAGAAAGAAAGAAAGAAAGAAAGAAAGAAAAAGGAAGGAAGGAAGGAAGGAAGGAAGGAAAGAAAAAGAAAGAAAGAAAGGAAGGAAAAAAGAAAGAAAGAAAAAGAAAGCAAGAAAGAAAGCAAGCAAGAAAGAAAAAGAAAATGAAGGAAAGAAAGATAACTTTAAAAAATAAAGGAGGAAACGCCAGTTTAAAAACTAGAATAACATTGAGATGAAAATAATTAAAGAGAAATAAAATAAGTGGAGAAAGAAAGAAAGAAACACAAAAGAATGAAATAAAGTAAAAAAGAAAGGAAGAAGGCAGATTAAAAAGGAAAAAGATTTGGAAAGAAAAAAGAAAAGTGACTTTAAAAAACTAAAAAAAATATTGTGATGAAAGTAAATAGAAAAAATAAAAAAATAAAACAAGCATGAAAGAAAAAAAGAAAGAAAAGGAAAGAAAGGTAACTTTGAAAAATAAAGGTGGAAAAGGCAGTTTAAAAACCTAAAATAAACATGAAGATGAAAATAAAGAGAAACAAAATAAGTGTAGAAGGAAAGAAAGAAAGAAAAAAGAAAGAAAGAAAAAAGAAAGGTAGATTAAAAGAAAAAGATTTAAAGAATGAAAAGAAAGAAAAGTGAGTTTGAAATGAACTAAAAAAATATTGATGAAAACAATGCAGAGAAATAAAATAGGAAGAAAAAAGTATGAAAGAAATTAAGAAAGCAAGGAAAAAAGAAAGAAAGATAAAAAAAAGAATGAAAAGAAAAAGAAAGAAAGGTAATGTTTAAAATTAAAAGAGGAAAAGAGAAACAAAATAAATATAGAAAAAATAAAGAAAGAAAGAAAAGTGAAAGAGGAAAGAGAGACTCAGTTGAACAAGATTAAAAAAGAAACATGGAGACAAAAATACTAAAGAGGAAGAGGAAACAGTGTTTCAAAAAAAGATTTGAAAACTTTCTGAAATGAAGGAAGATTTATGAATATTGGCACAAAATTACATTTGGCCTCTAAGTTCAATGTTTAAACCAAAATCTTTTGGTTCTTTCCATCTTTAGCCCGATTTGCCAGCAGTCCACACCTGTGGTCAGTACCAATGTTCATCGATTGAGATTTCTGACCTCCAAATTTCTGGTCTGATCTTAAATCATTTAATGATTCCCAGTGGAGAGACACGGGATAAAAAAAAAAGTTTTTATCTTCCTCCTTCTTATTGGTTATTTACACTAAATCACTAAAATGTGAGAAACTTTGAAGGAGTAAAAAATAAAGATAAGCGTTCAAAATATCAGATAAGTTGAGACTTCTATAGTAAAATGCATCGCTAATGTCTGGTTTTATGCAAGGAATATATTCTAAAAAAAAAAAAACGAATATATTTCAGACTTGTTAAAGAAAGCCTCTGAAGTAAAGAGAGAATTCTCTTTTAATACTTGAACAACAGCCATCTTCAGTTTCATGAGAAATCATCGAATATAATTAATTGATGATTTAAAATGATTTAAAATTTTCCAATGATGCAGGCATCTTTCATTTATTGGCAATTTTAGGATTCTTTAGGGAACGCCATTTCTTAGATTATTTCCCTTGCTGATGACACAACCAATTATTATTATTTACACTATTTACATGCAAACTATTGTCCTCATCTTTTTTGTTATTATCACAACATTTCAGTCCTTGTGTCCTCCAGCCTTCATCAGGGGTATATCAAGGAATACAAGAAATTCCAGACTTAACACTTTATTTAATCTGCAGGTGTAGACTGTTCTCATTCAACCAGCAGTACTAAAAATAAGAACTAGACAAGATTCCTAGACACGAACAGTGGATTGAAAACTGTCTACTCTTGTTGATTATATAAAGGGTTCAGTTCAGAATTTCTTATAGGTTAACCAGATTGGTAGGTACTTGATGAATTTTGGAGTCCACAACAGCAATAGTCTGCATTTAAATTTATTCCCATCTTAATATTTAGTGATTATTGATAAAATCCAAAGAAGAATCTGCAATATTATTTGTCCTGATCTGGCATCTTTTCCTCCTTTTTCTACCACTCTAACATAAAGTTACTGTACCTTTTGTATAAATACTTTAATAGTAATTGTTCTGATGAACTTTCCTCTATGGTACCTAGACTTTATGAATTTAAGAACATTACTAGATTGGCGACAAGCTCTCATCATTTTACAGTTGAATTGTCGAGATGTAGGCATAAGTTTTATGATAACAGTTTCTTCTGTTGCACTTCTCAGTTGTGTAACTTTCTTTTGGCTTCTTGCCTTCCAGTCAACTTTGACTTTCAAAATTTTAAATGCAAAAACAATTGTTATCTTCTGTGTTATTAGTTCCTGTTCTTTTATTGTCCTCTCTCCTTAATAGTGTTTTGTTTTATTCAAATTCTCTAACACTCAGTAACCCCTTTGTGTCTTGGTGGCTTTATTGTCTTGCTTAGGGTGAAATAATTTAAAAAAAAAAATGAAATGACAGTGCATACATCTTGAAGAGAAAAAGTCAAAAAATAGTGATAACATGATGCAAAAACTTTACAACTCCATCGTGCAGGAAATCTTTCGAGGCACATCATGTTTATTAACTATACTAACACTTATGGCCCTATTAAGGAGAGAACTCATCATCCTTGGCTAACAGATTAATTGCTATTAAGAGAGGTTACAGTTACACTATAACATAGCATGTGGAACTAGAACAGTCTACCCCAGTGAGCGAAATAAAGGGTTCAGTTCGACATTCCAACCACCTGAAGAAGGCCGGAGCGTACAAAGGCCGAAACGTTGTAATAAATATGGCGACAAAGATGAGGGACAATAGTTCAAACAATGCAAATAATTTTCGTTTATGTTTAGCAATTTTATTCATCAAAAAAATAAAGTACAATTGCATTTTATTTCATTATCTACTCCCAGTTATTTGCAATGACTTTTTGTCAGTTATCAGGAAGTACTTTAATACCTTTTCAAAACAAATCAGCAGGTTTTGATATGAAAAACCTTTCAATTATCTCTTCAGTCTGGTTTTACATATGAAATTTTCCTTATCAATGTGTTTTGCAGCGATCATAAAAAGGTAATAATTGGTTTGTGTAAGTTCAGGTAACCATAACAATTTGAATAGAACAGACCAACCAAGGTCGATATTTTTCCCATCTTAGTCTTGTGTTGTCATAGAAAAGAACACATTTTCCTACACAGAAGGGAACGTTTTTGACCAAGCTTTTATGGCCACATTGCAGCTGCTGGAAATATAAATGTGCATTTAATGTTTCCCTATGAATATTACTCCAATGATTTCATCACATGCACAGCATTACCTTTCTTTCAAATAGCTCAGCTTTTGTGTTTAATTTTTGAGGTTTAACCTTGTCATTCCACTAATTTTTTTTTAAATTGCCATTTTTTTTATTAGTATACCACCCCCCAAGCAAGCCAATAAGACCACTAAAACACAAGAGGTTACAGGATGTGGAAGAATTAGGAACAGAAACATTAATAATGAGTGGGACGAGGAAAGAGTAATCAGGAGGAAAGTAGATAGTGATTGACATTACATTTAAATTTTTGATTGATATTACATTTAAATTTTTGAAGATCAAAGTTGACTGTAAAGCATAGAGCTGGAAGGGAGTTCCACAAGTGGGAAGAAACTGTTAGAATAGAATTTACAGCTACATCTAGCCAGCTCAACTATAAATTGATGAAATGTCGACAACAGTCTCGTACTGTGCTTCAATTCAAAAAGTCTAGGTACCATAGCAAAGAGCTAATCCAAACAATTACCATGAAAATTTTCAAGGTAAAGACACAGAGTGGCAACTTTATGACAATAGAAAAATGACTGAAGTCAAGCTGCCAGATCAGGACCAATAATATTACTGATTCTTCTTTGGATTTTATCAAGGAGCTTGAGGTAAATAGCAGGGGCACTTGACCATGTATGGCAGCAATGTTCTAAGCATGGGCAAATGGTAGACATAGATATGTAATATTTGTTAAATTTACTAAAATTTCTCGTAAGGAAATATTTTTCTATTGCCTGGCAAAGTGTTGTCACTCAGTTTATTGAGCAAGATCCTGTTTTATCAATATTGTTTAAAAATATGAAATTCAGGAATCTAGCTGAGCAAATTATTAGCAAATAGAAAAGTACCGTTAAAAACAAACGAAAGAGTACTGAACTGTTACATAGTATCAGCCCTCCTATATGGCAGTGAATTCTGGACAATCTCCTTACAGATGAAGAAAACCCTTGAAACAACGGAAAGCTGCTGAGAATACTGTAGACCAAACATGTGAGCAGCAACAAAGTTCTAGAGACTATGGCAAATGAAAAGGTCACTTATACATAACATCAGGAAGAGACAGTTGAAAATTCTGAGGCACATAATGAGGAAGGAGGGCTTGGAAAATCTGATCCTCACAGGACAGATTGAAGATAAGAAGGGCCAGAGGAAAGCAACCAGCTGTTGAGTTAATTCCCCTTGTTAAAATTACAGTTTGTAAATGTTAGATCTACACAAGTGGCACTGCTAAAATTATAAGATTATTATTAGCCAATCATTGAACTAGCCCCATTTATTATATATATATATATATATATATATATATATATATATATATGAAAGTGAACATTGAAATCAACATTCAGAGGTGGCAGGCTGTTTCATGCTAAATGCAATAATCAGGCCACCATGACGATTGCGTCTAACATGAAACAGCTTGTCACCCCTGAATGTTGACTTCAATGTTCACTGTTAGATCTATATTTACATACGTTCTATCTCTGAAATTGAGCACTTTATCCCATAAATATAACATACCTTAAAACTATATTTCTTCATATTCAGGCCGGTAAATGTTATTTAATACTGTTTATTATAAACAGAGCATTTACTTAAATACTTGTATCTATAAAAGAACGTTAAACATAAAAATGTCTTTAATAAATAAATTGTCGGACTTTGTCCATTTAATATATATATATATATATATATATATATATATATATATATATATATATATATATAATGGTGGTGGCATCTGTTATAAAATAAAATAAGACATATCTCGGCTGATTTACAGGCAAATACTCAAAAGCGAGAACCGGATGTAAACGGGACAAAGCCCCGTCACAAAATGACTATTATCTTTCTTTACAAATGTTCCCGACACACGTGTTCCGGTCGAAAAATAAAATAATATTTGAAGTGCTCTATTTTTCGTCCAATAAAAATGCTTCCCTCCTAATTATACTCGCTTCGTTTTTCGAGTCTGTTAAGCCATAAAAAAACGCTATAAGAGGGGTCACACGGAAGTTCATCGGGCAGTCCACAGGTGCCCAGGATAGAGACCTGTCACGGTCAGCTACTGACAGCAGGGGAGCGTCAACCACCGTCAACATGTGTGAACTACTATGAGAGATCGACCTAGATCCGAAGCCGGCTTATGAA